AGGTCACGGCTTCTCCGGGGCTTAGCGATTCGGGAGCATCTTCTGAACTTCTTAAATCCGTTGCTGCGATCACTCAAGCGAGAGTGGCTCAAATTTCGGAGGGGACCATGTTAACACCGATACAAGTGAGGCTGCGCAGTGATGTCCCTCTACATATTGCACCCAGGTTTGACTATACGAGACGGCGGATCAAAACGTGATCGGAGCGATCAGCTGTGCTGCAAAAATCGAATCGCTACCTGAAAGATTCCCAGGTGTTCCGTATGACGGTTTCTTCCTCCGCTCCCGCTGTCGGATGTCAGAACGACGGGCAGCACGCCATGAATAGATGCGATAGTCGCTCTGTCTGAGTTCATTCTTCCGCAATTCCTGCATGAGGAGCGATACAATAAATGAACGATGCATGGCTGCCTCAACGACCGGTACGATAACATACTCACTTGTTTTACGACTCCGTCCGCAATATTTTTCGTCAGCTGCATCGACAAATGATTGCAACACTCGTTCGGTTACACCATCGCTGATGTCTGGCAAGGCGTGTGCATTGATTTGATGGCGGACCTCTGGATTCCGATTCGATTTGTGAACACTCTCGTGAGAAACGAGTGACGTTCGCTCAGGTGTTCCACGCGAGAAAAAATAAAATCACACACGAGATTGTTTCAACGACGACTTTTCGACGCTCGCGCAATTGCACCTCCGCTTTTTTTCGCTGAAAGTCCTGATCGGGACGGGGGTTCCGTCGAAGGAGCGTTGTCGACGCCTTACCCTCCGAGTCTCCCAGCCCAACTTTTTCTCCTTTCGAAGTAGTTGCTGGTGCTACGAAGTGCCAATAGCTGTGGGAGGGAATTGCAGACACAAGCCCCTGTGAGCGACAAGCGGAGACGCAGAGGTGAACTTCCAGATGGTCCAGCAGGTGGTTAATCAGAATATGTTGCCACTGGTGGCCATGATGAGGAATGACAACACCCTGTGACGAGGACGAAGAATCATTCCAGAGGAATCCCCCATCGCTAGGTAGCCACATCTCAGCCAGAAGGTTCCCTCCTTTGACCTACTCGCGCTTGTCAGGAACATCTGTCGTTTCCCGTTGCAACCACACAATCGATCCGCAAGGCCCATTTTCTTATAGACGCATCCATCTATTGTATGACGTCCAGCAACTGAATGGAAATTGGCTTTTCCGCGGACCTGGCCTATGCCGCATTTGAGTAAATCCGAGAATTGGTATCTCTCTTGCCGAAAGGCATGTTGAATAATTTGCCCAGTACTTCCCAGTCATCTCCGATCAGGAAGTTGGAATTTTCCCTCGACTTCGACCTTCCATACGGAGATATTTGGACTCATTCTTGGGGAATTTCCCATCGCTGAAATGGGTTCCTCGTCCCGCGTCCCGAGTTCGCTGGAAGAAGAGAACATACTGCACGATTATTTGCCGGTAGCCCCATCGAGTTTTCCATCACGCTTTTCGGAAGCCTATTAGCGTGAAACAAATCGGTTCGAATGCAATGTTAATGATCACAGCTGCCTCAGCTGTCGGATTCGATGCACGTGGATATTTCGTTCTCGATCCTAGAAATGACGTCATTTTTCTGGCGGAATCCTCCCTGGTTTCCACCCTCAGAACTTTTTCGAATTCAACGCCGGAACCTCGGTGCTGCGAAGAGAACTTCGAGCTACACGTGCCCTCTCTCGATCTGATCTCGGTCAGAATGTCGTCGCCGATCACTGATCACGGCAGTCTCTATCAAATCAAGTCACGTGGATAGCTGGTAATCCTCTCGTGACCAGAGCTGTCACTGACTTATCAGATTCTCATGTTTTTTTTGTCGTGTCAGATCATTGCCAGAACCAGGGCTGCTTCGATCAGCACACGCGGGATTAGCTAATGATGGGTCCGGTGGAGCTTTTCCACTCGAACCGTCTGCTAATCGACCGCGAAATGGACTCTCATTCCTGGTACGATCACAGAGATTTCCCACGGTCTTCTGAAACGAGCCAGTGGAAGACAAGAGGCTGCCGTCTGTCGTTTTCGCATCACATCAGAACGAGATGTGCTCATGACAGATCTCGTGCTACTCAACAGGGACGCTGTTCGGTCGGGAAGCGGAAACCCCAAAAAGTGGAATCCAGACTCCTGCTCGTTTCGAAATCTCATCAAAGCCTTGGCCATGCCTAGAGGAGAAGTTTTGATCGTTCTGATCGCCAGCAGGGACATCGCCGAAGTAGACATTCGTTCGCCTTCAAATGAGCTCAACTCTCGCTTCTGCAATCTTTCGATCTCGCATGCACGAAGTTCAGTGCATCGAATGAAAGGGCAGTCGTCGGCGGGCACCGCATCCGCAGCGGGAGGGGAATTAAGACGCGAAATCAAATTTCGGAATCGACTCGCACGGACGAGCCGTAAAAAGTTTCTAACGACGTGTCCGAATAACGAATGAGTTTATACTGCCGCCGAAATATGTCGTCATTCATTGTTGTTGAGACGCGTGTTGATGTCTCTCGGCGCTTTCGTGTCTGGAACTTTGAGGGAGGACGACTTCTCTCCGACGAAGTTTCATAAACATCGCGAGGAATGCGATGACCTTGTCAGAGTTTCGGAAATTGAGGCGAGAATATGAGAAGGCGGGAGAAGGCGTGGGGAAGCGGGACGTTATAGAGCCGAAGACTCGGCACTTGAAGCCGTTGGAGGGCATAGGAAAGTAGTCCACCCCCATGGGTGGTTTCGGAAGGTGACAAGCCTCCGATGATGTCGCTTGGTCATACCCACTCAGAGAACTCGAAATTCAATGGATTCGCCCAGGGTGTTTTGGCTCCTTGCGGGTACGATACCGAGCTGAAGATTCCTTCCTGGTCGTCTAACATGCTCAGGACACTGTACAAAGGGCGTGTCATAAAGGGATCCGACCGACGGATTCCGGGACAGGTGGTAAAGCCGGCTATCTCGTAACGACGCGACGTGCCCACCTTGTATTAATCCCAAATGTTCTGATGCTCGGCTCTACTATAGTCTTTCAGGGGGACTGTACCCAATGTAATAAATAGAGCCGGCTTACCATCTTCCCGTCCGCGCAGGATCATATGCTTCATTTTAACAACACCTCGCTGCGAGGGGTCGAGAGGCAGGGGGGATCGTTTCCATTTCGCACATTTTCCTCACCGATTCTCCGTATGCGCCGCTCCTACACAGAAAACTCGGGGGGAACGCTTTCGATCTTGTTTTGCTCCTCTTGCGCCGCTCGGCTCCGCCTCCTCTCGGCGACGCGGAAGTCGTGTCGGTTCCGCGTCTTGGAATGGTCCTCGGAGTGGGCGCCAGGCAGCGCATCATAAAACTCTTTTCCCGCTGGTGCGTCGGCTTCTAAATGCTGAAATATTTACGAACGGCATCTGCGGCTCACCGGCTCCGCTGCCGGGGAAGCCTCACAAGCGGTTTGCCGGAACCTAAAACTTTGCGGCGCGGCGGTGGAAGGCGAAAAATCTCAAAACGACCTCATTCGCTCCGGAAAGAGGAGCCGTATGGAGAAATAACGGGGGAAACGAGATGGGAAACATTCCGTGCCTTTCCCCCGACGGCATCGTTTCATTTGCGGCAGCCCCTCTCCCCCGCCCCGATGGGATGAGCCGATCCTTGAGCCAGACGATTCGCGCAGAGTTCCTCGATCGTAGGTATCAATCGTTTCCTTTGGAATTCTGATGATTGATTCCGGTATTGGACACGACCGATGGAATTCTCCTGAACACTGAAACTTACAACATTGGGAATCACGGTTAAGGAAACGCCATGAGTTCTCGACGTGGTTCTTTCCTTTGCTCGGATCGGTGACTTCTGGGGCTCCTCTCGGATAGCCGAGCGAGCTTCTCTCAGCGAATGAGTTCGGTCGAGATCACGAGCCAAGGCGGAGCATCTTCTGCCCGTTTATCGGAGGTGCTTCCGTGTAACAATTTTGTGATCGATCAATTATCAAATCCACGACTAATTGGTGGGCACTCCGGCTCATCACATAATATGCATGGCAAGAAGGCGTGGCACGATTCTCCGGCGTCATGGAATTTGGACGTGTTGCCGATTTCATCCAACGGCGTCGGGCACTAGAGTTCTAGAGCACACAAGTGGTCTGCGGGAAGAAGGGGTCGCCGCTGGAGTCATACACATATACACATATATTACATAGTGCAAGCCCTGGATTGCGAACTGAATACGACCGAAGAATTCCGTGAGAGAGAGAGTCTCGGCACGACTTCAGAGGAAGTATGGGGGCGGAGGAATCGTCGGGAGAAGTTATTCCGTTAGAGAAATTGAAATGAAGTCTTGCGATTGATTGGTTCATGGAAAATATTCAGGGGCAGCGGAAACATCAGCGGAGAGATGGAAGGCCTACGGGAGATCGGACGATCGCCACCGAACGAGCGAAGAAGAGTATAGATGAAACTCGTTGCTCTTCAATTTTCGGAGAGTTCGGGAATCCCAGCCGTCTCTCAGACTCCCCGAAGGATGGTACATGAATAAGTGATATATCCGTCTTTCATGAGAGCGCATGCAGAGCGATTGGATCGGTCGGAAAATGAATTATTGGATACCGTGACGCCCATGCATTGATCAACGCCGCAAACAGCGACCGCTCTACCGGTACCCGTCGATTCGAGAATCCGAATTCGCGTTCTCATCTGAGGGGAACCGAGCAGCGGCCGCTTCCGAAGTCCGCTCCATGATTTGGTAGCCGATTCGAAGGCCCGTGGGGAATCCATTCCAATAGTTGAACAATATGTTCAAACGAGCCTGGACCTCCAATCTCATGCTTCATATACTCCCGCATGCTCATCGTAGATATCTTTCATCGTCGGGGCTTTTAGTCCACAACTCGACGCGAATGTGACGCTCCTTGTTCTAGACGACTTCGATTCAGCGAACCACCTAATTACCGAATCTAAAGATAGATATGATTTGTACCCTGTTTTCTTCCTCATCAATTCGATCTAACCGATTTCTTCCTCACCCACAGGGTTCAGGAGTCCGATGGGGGCTTTTTCGAGAATTTCACAGCTATATCGTGGAAACAGGAGAACCGTCGTCTTCAAATAACACGTGAGGTATGTAGCCAGTCCCTCGGTAATCCGGTGGTCGTTCTTACCTCGAAGAGACATCTAAATCCCGTTCAAATCCGATGTTCGGTCCGCTCAAAGCTGCGAGTTGAAGTTCGGAGGAGTTCGCAGTCGAAGGAGGGACAGCTCCCGACGCTCAAACGTGCAGTTTCAAAAGACTCTTCGGATTTTCCCCGCGTCACTTCGCGCCTCGTTCCGTTCCTTTATTGCCTAGGTATCACATTTCGCGTGGTTTGTTGCCCGTTTCCCGATTGAATGTCCGACGACGTCCAGAGACGCCGACTGTCGCCGCGACACCTGTTCGAAATCGAATACCACAGCATCGGTCGGGTCCTGAGCGATGACTTCACAAAACGTAAGGGTGTTGGAGAGGCGTGCGGTTTGCGCCTAACGATTCTCGAATACCGTATTTTTCGCGCGTGTTATCCGGCTTGTGGCGTCGATGGAAGCATCAATGGCTAGCTCAAGAAAGCGCTATGGTACCCTCGGGGTAGGCAAGCTGGAAAAGCCTACGACACGATTCGCGAATAAACAGATCTTCGTTTGGAGCCCTCTTTTGTGATGAAGAACGTTTCCCTACTCCATCTTTTGATGTCGTTGCTTCTTTGAGAGCGACGACAGCATAAGATACTCAGAACTCGTGGAGACCGGCCAGCATGAAGCCGACCCTGGGAGTCTCTATCCTCGGTCGTAGGTGAAGATTTGCATATTATTGAAGGACGTCGTTCCTCACAAGATCTGCCCCCCATCTCTTGTCGCTCTCTGCGGAGACGTTGCGTGGGGTCAGCTTGATTCGAGGATGAGCTGGCAGGTTTTCGAGAGCTCCGGCGGAAGTTCTGTTCCACTCAGACCGCCGAAGTCCCCGTTTTCGGATCTGATCTCTGCTTCAATTACGACATGATACGATGCACAAAAGACTGCGGCCTCAGCTCCTCAGGATTTTGGCAGCGATAATCGACCTGTCGATTTTGTACTGAAAGTTCGATCCGACACCTGGATGGACTGCTATTGACTGGAGTTCGATTCGGTCGAGAACCGACCCCAAGCTCCGACATCTCAACGCTGGGATAACCCCCACGGAACGGGCCGACACTCGTTATCGGGGTCTTCTGTTCTTTTTTCTGAGGAAAAGGGCAAGGCTCGTGTATAATGCTTTTGAGCGATCCCCACGACTTGCTCCGATCGAAGCTCCTCTCGATGGTTCCCAATGAACGAAGATGCTCTCCGATGTAGTGTGCCAGAACGCGGAATCCATCGAACGATTGCCAGACAATGCCAGAGAAGCGGAAATACTAAACAGCTTGTTGTTAGATACACAGAATTGAACTGGGAACTCGATTGGGGGGCGTGGAACATGCCCCGCTGGGACTCATTGCACTTTCCGTAATCCGAAGCGAGGCAAACCCGGAAGTTTCGTCCCTGTTAGGTGGGAGGAAGGATGGATGTATGTTGTGGTAGCATTCGATCCATTGGAGAGCTTCTCCAAACTTCCTCTTAATAGAACTTCGGGCAAATACGGAAAGCCCCGAGCTTTTTACGAGACTCGTATTATATGTATGCCCCCCCTCACTCGGTCGAGGTTTCCGAGTTTCGACGGTGGGATACTGCTCGCGAAGAAACCAAGTCCGACACAGAGACCTGATAAGGCGAGCTAGGTCCGTCGCAGAAGAAACTTAGAACAGACGAGCCAACGCGGTCAGAAATCATCACCTATGACTATGACAACTACCTGATAGAGCCTGTGGAGGGTTCTAGACATTGCGACGATAATTGAAGATTGATCCGTGGGCTCTCTGATTCCGGGAGCCTCTGACGACCCCAAAGCCTCGCCTCCTTGCCTGGTGGTATCGCTCAAAGCTTGAAGATCCGATTCCTCAAAGTCCTCAAGACAGCTACGACAGCCTCTCGGTCAAGGAACAGCTATTAGCCAGACGTTGAATGATTCATGCGTTTGACTGTGGTGCGGAGGAATGGAGAATGACGGCTGCGGTCCGCGCATCGATCCGCTCGGCTTTGAATGGCGAGTCGCAGCTTGTCTCGACCAGGACGCTTCAGAACGTCCCGGAGCTTCTCAGCCATCTCAGGCGGAAAGCGTCCCGTATTTAATTTGCTGTGAGAACTCTCGAATATTCATGATAATTCGTTCACCTTTGTCCGTTCCGGACTTGGTCCCGATTCAGCGGCGGGAGCATCACTAGATCAGGGGAGAGCTGGACCTCCTATCGGGAAAACCTATGTTTCTCAGTAATTCCAGTGAATATTGAGTATTAGCGCGGAGACCCGGTGCCAACAATTTTTTTTTCCTAGAGATTACTGCTCATCGGTGACATTTCTCAGACTCCGATGATTGAGAAGGGATCTGAGATGATGTCCTGCTCCGCCTGCCAGCGGGAGAGCCGCGAGACAGACATTGATTAGTGGATAATAATTCAGGGGAGATCCATCTCCGTCAGGGTCGGTCGAATCGACGTTGTGGCCCATTTCGTTCAGGAGCCTGTTTCAATGGGTTCGGAATGAATTGATCGAGAACACGCACACCAGTGGGGTTGTGCTTTTCATGCTCCGTCTCAACGTGTAGGGAACTGTATCATCTCGAACCAATCGCAGCCAGCACAGGAGGGAGACTCGTGCATAAACAAGCGGTGGATGTCGGTGCCCTATGCCCCCTGAACTCGCTAAACATAAAAACGCTCGAAGTCAATCTGCGGATTACACGGGCAAGTTCGATGAGGTGTGACTTTAGGAAATCAGGTCAAGGCACTCGACATTGAAGCAAACTTCATTCCAAGCTCTTTCAAGGGCTGTCACTGCAAAGAACACAAGGGGGCACACTGGAGTCATCGTCGAGATGTCGCTTAAATTCAGCGCTCGAGCGGGAAAGGCTCTAGGAGAACAGCGCGCAGGACGTCAAACTCAGCTGTTCGCCAGGAAAAAGCTAATTCCGTCAGAGCTCGGCTTCCGTGGGGTCGCTGAGAGAATGGCTGAGCTCCGGGAGCACTCCAACCGTTCTCTCGGAGTCTCCAAGGAGCGTCTCTGAACAGCTCAACTAATGTTGGCAATCCTCCAATCAATGCGTTCCAATCATGAACTGGAACTTCCTGCGAGCGAAACGAAATAATTCCAATTTCCCGGAATACGAAAACGGGGGCAAGAGTGGCACATCGGCTCCTTCCTGATGGAAAAAATAAAAACATTCGACAAACAAACAGTCATCAGCCGTCGGCGGAGCTCATCTGTCGAGTTGAATAATTTATTATTATCGAGGATTCAGCCGAGACCGGCGTTCTCGCATTAGATTCTGCGGAGGCAGAGCCCCGAAATTGAGACTGAGCTCCAGAGAGCATTGTCCCGAAGCTATGAAATGATCGTTGCGTGCCAGTCGATGCCCGTCGGATGGCTCGGATTCACTCGGCGAGATTTATACATATATCGAAGCCTCAACCGCTTGAAACACTGTAATTACTGTCATTGTGGCGTTTGCGTAAAAGATTTGTTTCCAAGCCATAGTGTTCCGACCGCGTCGTGATGCACGAACTCGGCTGAAGGACTTCCGATTACACGCTCTAGTCATTCAGCGCCGAAGTACATTTTTGGAACAAGATCCGACTCCTTCGAGTCAGTGCTGGGGAGAAAAAAAACATGCCAGACATATAAGACTACGAATATAGCTTTCGAACGGAAAAATCGCAGCAATGACACTAATGGCGAGAGGGAGCACTACTGATTTTCAATTGAATGACATAAGTACATAATTGCGTTACGGGTGACATTTTCGAAATTCTCCTCTCGACATTAAGCAGGCTCTCTTTATTCTCCACTCAGTCAGACAAATTCGGGCATGCTCGAATACGTTCGACTTCACGGATCTACTCCGATGAATTTGGAGTTCTCTTCCGCGGGACGTGAATTGACCATCGATGAGTGTTCGGTCAAGCTTGGCACAGGGTCTCAGGAGACCACACGGCAAGACGTCGTAAATTGTCTCGGGCATTATCCACGGTGACCTTTGATATCATTGCCGTCACTAATTTGACGTCGACTGTGTTCTGCGCACGGATTCGTGGCGTGCTCGTGAGGTTCTCCCAAGTGGTGTGCATCTTCTAGGAAATTTCCAAATAAAAACTCAACAGCCTCCGGAACTTCTGGCTAGCCGAAAGGCGGTCAAACTTAACAAAAGCGAATCGATGGCAAAGGTCACCGTAATCATCGAATGACGTAAAGCCGAGATTCCCAACTTAGGTAACGGAAGTCGGCGATAACTTCATGAATCGATCGGGGCCGTGCGCACTAAACCAAACGGCAGACGTCGCTCGGAAGGTCGATCATTTCTGAACGGGATTGTATTACCGAGATAATTTTCTTCCTCAACAAAGATGAACTCCGGCTCCCTTGCCTTCGGCGGCCAACATCGATGAGAGGAACGACGAATATGTTGCTTTAGCGGTGACGTCTCCCCTCGAGGCAGGATTCGTTCTCGTGGTCCGGACCGTGAACGTCCTGCCATCGATTTCCGACGGACCCTGAGCTGCGATCTCGGTAACGTGGTAATCGGCCATGTTCGGGTCGGATATGAGGCACGCCTGGGTTTTGTCGAAACCCAGATTGTGGGCGGCCATCGCCGCGGCGGCCATGGTGTTGACGTTGTTGGGAGCTATGTGACAGAGTTCGCGCACCGGGCCCTCGTAAAGGACAATCGGCCTAGTCGACACGTTATCGTTTTTCGCTCGTAAAGACGTTCCCTCGGAGAGCCGGAGCGCGCTAGGATGCTTCCTCATCGTGACTGTCAGTCCCTGAAGAGTTCCCCGGTCGGCCATTTTCCGGATGTCCTCCAGTCCCCACATGGCTCCGGACGGGATGTATAATCCGTTGGGTTTCCGCGCGGCCCGTCTGAGTTTCAGCTCAACCTCCTGATCGGCGAGAGCTGTGGGCGATCCGATCATGTAATCGCAGTGTTTCAGAAAATGTTCGCCGTACGCTTTGGAGATGGTCGGATGCGCGACCTCAACGACGAGGTCCGGTCGCCGAGTGTAGAAATAGGTCAAGTCCTCGAGGAGAACGGAGCGATCGAGACGTTTCGTCGACGGGTTGAACGTTCCCGACCGGGTCCACACAAAGGCCAGTTCGTAATCAGCTGGTCGGGCCAGAATCTCGTCGACGAGATATTCGCCCAGATGACCGTATCCAACGATTCCGATCCGACGTTTATAGTTCATTCTGCACTCGATGAAATACTGGAACAGTTTGAAGGCTGGTGAATTGCACTCTAGACGGTCGGTGTTTCCGGGCGACGACGGGTCGACCAGCGCGCTTTTCGACGCTCTGCCAAGACACGGTCAACGAGCGGCACCGATCAGCTATAGTGTTCTCGTGAACGGACGGACAGAGTAAGCAGACACAGTGTCAGCCCTTTCCTATGAAGCGGCGACGACGACGACACCTGCTTCTTCTAGGGGAGAGCTCTGGATACTGCCGCTTCTGCCGCCGCGGCCGCCGTCGCTCATCATCATGAAGGCAATGAACAACACGACTGTCACGATCGGCCGATACACCCTGTTCGCCATTCTAGGTACGCTGCGCGCTTCCTTCGTATCTTTCCCGAAGCAGCGACGTCTCCGTCATCAAAATCGTCGTCGTTTCTGCTTCTGCCGCTTTGACCACCGCTGTGTGTGTCCAGCGACTGAGTGATGCGCATAGCAAACGGAGCCAAGGTCGGATACAACAGGTGTCTCGATCAGTATCACGACATGTATGGTCTAGAAAAGCGACACTGCGCTCCAGGAACGTATGGTTATCTATCAACGAAAAGCGTCGTTTCTGTTTCCCGAATGATTCTCCGCTCGCTCGACCGACCGACGGACTGACTGAGTTTTACGACGTTTTCGGTGGTGCAACGCTCTCGACCGCTGGGTTCAATCGCCGAAACACATACATATGTGGCTGCTGACGATTCCGGCACGGAATTCCGGATAGCTCGATAGCTTCCAATATTCCCGTGGTCTGGGTTCGGATGGAGTTGACTCTCGCGGGACACAGACGCCCGCGTGGGATGCGTCGTCTTGCTCAACTCATGGCATTCCGCTGTTATCTGTCAGGAAACTGGGTAGATAGAGGAGTTACGTTGTGAATTACGGCTTGCGGTATTTCTCGTGAGGGATCGGTAGCCAGGCGGGTCTGTTGACGTGGCGAACGAGAATGAAAACCCACATCATCATCATCCATATACATTAACAGCGGCTCCGTATGTCTACGATCGCACACAGCGAGGAGAGCAGGCTGAACAACATCGCGGGGTTGCGATCCGTGGCTTGAGATTGATTGTTCGCGGAACTCGACCGGTCAGGGGAACAGGACCAAGTTGTTTTTCCTGGGAGAACCAGATTCATAGAGTTTCGTTTACGTTGCACGTGTGATGAATACGGGAACAGCTTGGTGAAAAATGAACACAGCACCAGAGAGCCTGAGACCCGGGCGCGCACTCGCATGGAACATCGCGAGATCGGGAAGCTCAAGGAAAAATTGAAATGGAAAATCGATCGAAATTGGAGAGCCCCTCCAAGAGCCAGGATCCTTGGAAGAATGAGACATTTCGTGTTTTTTTCCTACTCCCAAACTCCTCGTTCAAACAAGTGGCTTAGCGCTGCGAGCACGGACGAAAGAATCCAAATCACCCGTGGGCGATAGAATATCTCATATCCCGGCGGAGGAAGCTCTCAGGAACGTCCAACATTTCGGTGCCACTTCGATTTCGATACCTCTCCAAACTCTATCTGCTTATCTATGGGTATTCTCGCCGCTCCGCTCTCGATCGGGTAAGAAATCGTTGTGGGAGTATTCCGGCTCGTGATGTCTGATCTTTGATCGCGACTTGCGTTTCTCGCACGCATCTTCGAGGAAAAATGTTCGCCGAGCGATCAGCCGCTTCCGGACGCGTCGCTTTGTGTTGGAGGATAGATGCAACAAGTTGTCACCACTTGTTGAATGCATTGGGAATGCGCTTCGGACTCCCTCAGCGCTACAACTCACTATTTCTCACTGTGAACCCTCAACCGGAGCAGCCGAGATAGCGGTCATCCGCAGATCCCTCGAGTTTCCACGACCTCTCCCCTGTGATTTGCTGAGTCGACCGTCATTTCCGCCGACAAGTTGACCGCCCAATAGCACGTCATCCAGGTACTCGACGAGCCCGGAGTAGATCCAGGATGCTCAAACCCGTTCCTCGCTAATAGAAGCGTGCGTCCCCGGGCTGAGCTTCTCGACATCAGAAAGTGTTCGATTCATCGGCAATCAACCAGCCAGTTGATTCCCTTCGACGATCCCGCTGGAGAATATTCGGGACATATGAATTAGAGGGCGGCAATTGCTCCGTGGAGCGGTGGGAATGGCCGCAGGCATTTGACACATCTGCTCCTTGAAGGGCTTCGAATTGGAGATGTAGCGAGGAGCATGCAGATGTCGAAACCTTACACAGATGTTCTGCAGACGTCCTCATTGCGGTTCCAATCAGCAAGTCGAGAGAGGGAAAGCCAATGGCGATATGACCATCGGACCTTTCGTCACGAAGAACGTTATATATTCGCCATCTCTCGCTCTCGCTCGCTCTCGTTTTTCAATTCGAATTCGAGTCTGAGCTCCCTGCTTTGAGGCTACACGTAATTGTGCGGGCAGGAGGCAGTCTCCGGATGCTCAAGCCACGAATGGATCCGCGGACCTTGGACTCAGTGGGGCTTCAATGTTCTCTCGGACCCAAGAATGGCCAACCGAAGCCCACAAAACGCTGCAAGACGACCCGAGGGGCCTAAGTTTTTTTATGAAAAATTGTCCCCTCGGGCCCCGAGCCCACCGTCAGCCGGCAGCTCATGCAATTCCTAAAGAGGTGACTCCTCTTCGTTCCACTTCCGTTTCTCGCACATAAGTCTCCGATGAAAGGAGGCTGCCTCTACAAGTGTTTTCGAAAGTATGGACACCTCTTTCGTTCCGGTTCTTTTTGCGATGGCCGGAGGCGTTGAGCGATACGTGGATGACGGCAGATGGAAAGCTTCTGCATGATCGCACTTGTGTGTTTTGTCTCATGTCCACGGGAAAGCACGGCTGAGCAAACAGAGAATTCCGCGGAATCGTCGGCTTTGAGGATCCTCCTCCGGGACGCCAGTCTTCTTGATTACTCGCCGATTGCAGCCTTATGGCAAAGGTCACACAGCGGGCCCATTTCCGCTCCGCATGGCTTCCCAGTCCGGTCCCATATGTCTGTGTGTATTATCCAAAGCTGATCCACTTAGTCTTATCTCGACACACAAACATGTAGCACCCGAGCGGCATCAGAGCTCTCAATTTCTTCTTGGTCGCCGCTATGGGACCCTTCTGTTAGAGACCCTCAAGGGATCCCCTGAAGGACCTCACTTCGGAATACTCAGCGGAGAGTTCTGACGGGGACGTCGCGTCCACTCGTGCGCTGTTATTTCACGTAGTGGGATCACGCAGTGAAGCTACGCAGTGAAGCCACGTCACGGATAGAAATCTTGAATGAAAGTTTCCCGCCTCATTTCAAAAACAGCGTTCGCACGCGAACGAGAATCCGTAGGGACATTCCGCCAAGACCATGAACATACGTCTTGCTCCTGCTCTCAGAGAGAGTCGATTCTCGCGAGTTTCTCGGATCTGCCCAGCGAAGGTCACCGAACACGTTGGGGTCCTCGAGCTCGAATGCGAGGTCTTGGAAGGGAACAACAATATTATCCGATCACATGGACCGGCATAATCAACTTTGGTACATACCCTCTCGTTGTGCGAGAGGAAGATGAAATGCTGATGATGTGCATACGTGCGAGCCTACTTGTATCCTAGCGCTCTCCGCGGAGAAATAAATATCGTGAGTCGCTCAATGAGCTCGTTGGAGGGCACTCTACAGAGACGAGGATTTCTCGAGGAAATCTCCGAAAGAAAAAATGAGCCCGGGCTGTAGTTCCGAGAGACACCTGACTGGAGGCTCTCGAAATGAACATGTGTATCTTAGCGAAAAATTATTGTCCCGGTGAATACTCGAGCTGCGGCTGCTTCTCCATCGGCAGCACGGCGAGCGAAGCACCCGAACACTCAGTTCGCTCTGTGCAATCATGGGGAAACCGCGGCGAATGGTCGGGAAGACGATTTTCCTCAGTCTAGGAAAGACGTCCTGTTCCGAATCTTCCTGGGTTCTGCGGCGAGCTGACCTCCTGCGCGTTTGAGAATCTCTGCGACGCATTGTTATGGGGCGCTATGAACGGATTTCGATAGCGTGCCTAGTGAGCGAAGAAAACGTGCGGAAGCGATCAGAAGCGCGGCTGTTTCCCCGGCACTGCTAAGGAACTTAGTAATTGTCCAACAGTAACTCAGCCAGTTATCGTCATAGAAATAATGAAGCTTGTAATTACCGTCGAAGACGTCTGTCGCCCGAGGCCGACCTGTCCGTCTGCTCCTTTGTCGGCTGTCGTCGAGCGAGACACGGTAGCTCTGGTGCTCGGTCAAGTTCCAGCATGCGACATTTTCTCGTTCACTCGACTCGAGAGTACGCGCTGAGCTCGAACTGCCTCGGAGCTCAGAATTCGTCTTCCGGACTTCTTACAACCTGGTAGCCGAGAGCCCATCGAGGGATAGATGGAAGCTCGGAAAACCGTGGCCCATCAAACGGGGAGCCCTTACGACGCCAAGTAGCTCCATACACGTTCAATGGGGTTCTCAGTATCGCTATGCGACGGAGTCCTTAGAATTTTTTCTCGCTCATGCGCTCCAAATGAACCTTCTGGCACCACCACTCTCGGCGATTCCTGCCCGCATGTTCGAAAAACCCGGCGGTCCAAGACTTCTCATGAATTAGTAATATCCATCTCGTAACCCTATCCTCAATTATTGTCGGTTCAGTGATGAAATACTGCTCAAAAGAAGGTCCGAGTATAATACTTCGATTTCCGTTTTGGCTCTGGAGTCTTCATTTCGTCGAGTTCTCCCGATTGCGTTCGGATCGCTGAAAATCCGAGGATTCAATGAAGAGCAGAATATATAACCTCAAGGCTCGGTGCGGGTCGCCTTCGCATTCTTAGGAATGCTCGCGTGGGGCCCTCGGATTCCATACGGGAATTCTTAATCGATCGATGTCCTAAGGTCGGCAGGCGCCACTATTTGCGTATATTACGCGGGTGGAGCCACAATCGACAGCTGCGGCGGGACACGCGTTCATAGTAGCCGAAGCGCGCATGACTTTCGAATAATTACTGCTTCCAGTCATTTGGCTGACCGAGCTTCTGAGCTGAGTGAATGAGCACTGTTTAGAAATTTGATGAAGCTTCCGAACGCTCACGATATCCATTGTGGGAACATTGAGCCATGATGCGAAGATCATGCTCCTCGCCGGCGAGGCGTCAGTCTAGCTCAGTCATTGAAACCTCCATGAGACGCCTTCCATTATTCGGCTCCCAGAAAACGTGTTGAGAATTCCACAGCCCGGGACTGATTCGTGAATAAGGAATCGGCGGATTCCTAGGCTAGAGAAAAAAATCATGTCCCGTAATCGATACGTCCCGTCAGATCTTCTCCGGGGCATCGAATGTTCTGCCAAGAGGGCAACTCACCGAGTTCTTACCACTCAACTGCCCATTCCTGGACACGCGACTGTGAGCCTGATTGATCGCGGCGCATCTACTCGGGGATTTGGATCTTGGTTCCGATAAGCGGGCGATCCGATTGTCCGGTGCACTAATCAAGTATCGCCGTTCTCCGATTCCGCCCGCGTAAGGTTCCCTCCCTCATCATAGCGAGGCCCTCGAGGGAGTCCGCTCCGGCGCCCCGTCTCCCTCCGGCGCTTGAGCCGGCGCGAGTCTCCACGTTTTTCGCAACTGGTTGAGAACATCTGATCCTTTCAAGTTTCTGTCTCCGGTCGAATTTCAGGACACCCTCGGTCATGACTTGTCTCCTCTGCCGAACGAAGGCGAAGTTCTGCCTCCGATCGCGCTGCAGGCTGAGCAAAAGCTGGGACGCAAAGAACTGGAAGATCTCTACATTGAAGTTCTCTACACCATCAAACATAAACTCGGCGCGGGAACATCTTATGCCGAGGCGGAGCTGTTCGCGTTCGCTCAGGATGCGTTCGGTGAGTTGAAAATCCTGCTCGATGCACCCGCCGTGTTCGAAACTCTTCTTATTCGACGGCGGAACGTTACGGTGTATCGATCCCTGTTGGAACAAAGTTGTAATACTACCAGGCACGCAACACTCCCCCGATCAGAGACTCGGGAGCGTGCTCGTCCGGATCGCCCTCGTTTTCAAGAACAGATACCTTTTGACCGTTCCCAGAATTTATGACTACGCGCCGGATTCCGCTTCTTTCGGGACGCTTACCTCCCGATCTCGTTGGGAACGAAAATCATGAGTGTTCAAGAATCGACTCCTCCGGATACGTACGAGGAACGAGAATTCCTAATCAAGTCATATTTTTTCGTTGAAGGATTCTCTGACGAGACCCATCAGAGGCTCCTGTGTGCCGCCGCTGAGGAAAAACCTCCGATCCCGGTTCTTAACGTTGTGGTCGTTGAAGCCCAAGGTCTGGAGGCAAAAGACCCGAACGGTGAGTTCACTAAGGCAACAGATTTTCCTCGGTCGATGGAGCACTTTTGTTCACCATGTCCAGAGCACCGTGACCCTCGCCGACTTTCGAATATTGAGTGCAGTATTGGAGAAAGGGTTATCTGGGTGCGCGGGTGACATTAATGAAACCGGACTTCTGGCCGTAGCGTGAACCTGGGGAAAAATCCGGGTGGACAATTCCACACCTAGTATACATACTTGTATCTCGCAGACAATTCGATCGGTTGTCCGTCGTCGAGCATTCTGGGCAGAGTTCCATCACACGGATAAAGTTTATTGTGTACGGAGTATATGGATCGAGTCCGACTTCCCCGATCGATACTGTATGAATATCCGCGTATCGCTACCCACGGGCAGGTAGTCAGGGGATTATGCTCCTTTGACTATCCGTGCCGCCGTCCACGGTTCCGTATCATGAATATCACAAGACGGAAGGCATGTGTTTTGACAGGGAGAAAGACGGTGGGAGCCCTCGCTTCCGATCGGAAGTGGGTTGTGCACACCCTGACGAGGCGAACGGTGAAGGGGCGAGCTATCTATTGCTATCTAAATTATTTGGAACCCTCCTGTTCCACCATTTACGACAATTGCCTCGGGCAGCGAATCTATTACTTCTTGGCTGCCGTCACAGAGGAAAAAACAACTTTGCTCCGTTCCTGTTGAATGTGCGGCACGTTCTCTCTCTAGAGCGTCGTCTCCCGCCACCATCCCACGTAAGCTCCTTATCGGCTGAAGAATTCAAAGGTTTAGCATCGGAGGAGGGGAAGCAACGAGGAAAGGTCTCAATCGTCCTCATGCTGAAAGCTTTGACGTCACGAGCTAGCAGGATAAAGAACGTCAATTCGTGTCATCTTCGGACTTCTCAATTCGGCGGAGTTTAAGTAATCGATTGGGAGAGATATCGATACACAGCCGTCGACGCGGGCGAAAACCGATTTGAGTCCGGGATCAGGGAACCGGAACACTTCGCCGGGCACGTTTAGCGTGCCCCGAGTCCGGAAATCTACATGATATACGGACGATCGATTCGTCACCTTTCGACGTGCTTTTTGGCGTGCAGCTTCAGCGGAAAGTCGCGCGTGTACCCGTCGCGTGATCATTTCTCCCTCACAGTCTCGCCTGGCTCGGAGCGAACAATCCCAGGATACCTGATGGTAAAGTAAAACGCTCCTTGGAGCCGCTTCTCCGGAGCAATGCCTGCGAGCTCATCGGGACCAACTGTCGACTTTATCGGAGGGAGAGGATACTGGAGTTAGCATTTCGGCGACAGCCGCCTTAATATCTTCGGCCCCCCGATCGAGCGACGATCCTGGTCATCTACGGATCTACTCCTGAGCGAGTCTGAAGCCTCTGAGATCGAAACGTTTCCGACAAAGCTTGGCCGCAGGCAGAGCGCTGTCCCCTCGTAACGCGAATTGTGAGGTCGTCCTCATGTTTTCCGTCGAAAGGGCAGCTCTGATAAAAAGATCGGCTCTCCATAGGATTCGCGTCGTTTCCGCCTTCATTTCTTCTGTCCCAGGAGCTCAGCCAGGGAATCCACGGCGGCACTCAATGTTTGAAGTCGATCGCAACGACACTGCTGGAGAGTGCGCCGTACGACAGAAGCTCGTGAAATCCGAAGCCTCTGATGTATCTCAGCGGAAATGCGTTCCGGAATCGTGGAGCAAACGAGCAACTGAGAAGTATTATATTTTTATCCTATATTGCCTCTCCGGTTCAAGGCTGTCTCTCCGGAAAGACTATGCCTCGGCCGACCTCAAACAATGCGCCTGCCTCGCGCGAGTGGCGGTCATCCGTGCTGTGGGGCGCTTGAACAGCTCCGCAGGTCACGGAGGCCTTTCGGTCAGCCCCGACGCGGATCGCGGATCTCAATTCTACCTCCGGTCCGAATCAGACGCCCCATTCTTATTGTCCCAGCGTTGGGGCACCGATTCTGCAGACGAATTCAGAGAGCGAAATACCCGGTCAAACGAAAGTCGGGACTGGTACAAATCGCTCGTCTTGTTCCATCTTTCCCGGCGGAGGAGGATAACGCTGAGGACCTCAAATTGCGCATCTCCGCCGCCTCACGTTACTCCAGTCCGTCGTGATGCGCGTCCTGAGCCGACATCTGACTTCGAAACCCATAGAATCGGCCTCTGTGAGATCCATGGACAACTGCCAGACCGATCCGGACTTACTCTTACAAGTTGTCAACTTACTCTTACAAGTCGTCAACTTACTCTTACAAGTCGTCAACTTACTCTTCCGAGTCGATATCAGATCGAAATCCATCGACGGCGTCCTGCGTTCGGCGGTAACCGGAATGAAATCTGGGAATAGTGGAAACTGAGCGATGCTCGTAGCACCAAATATAGAATCTTCGTACAAGGACGCGCGCAAAAAAAATCGGAAAACATTCCATCTACGAAGTGACTGACGAAGAATGCGTCGCATGTTTATCGCTCCACTAAGTTACGCCCTACTATTCCGTATCGGCAGTAATACTCGGCGTAGCACAGGGCAGAGGGCGGCATGCTCACAACCTTCGCACACCTTCTCGATCGAGTGATTCCATGACGTATGGGCACGATATATCATTGCAGGGACATGGAAATGAACGATTTTCCGTATATGACTGCAGCAGTCGCACGAGCTCGTTTCGCGCTCGAAAAAACAGTGAAGCGTCAATGTCCAGAGCTGACCATCCATGCGGTCTCTAGACGTTCCGCTTTTTACCCTCATTAGCTGATTAGAGTTTTCTCTCGCTTTGCAGGTTTTAGCGATCCATATTGCATGCTGGGCATTCAGCCCGGCAATCCTCATATGGCGGCGGATAGACGGAACAGCGCCGAAGACGATCAACGCGACGAGCGCGAGAGGAAAGCCAGCTCTTCCGGTTCCCCGTCTCGAAGGTTAGTCCCATGAACCCGGGGATCGTTTCGTGGATGAATCCGCGGGTTTATTCCTCGCCCGGAAAGTTTTCTCGATCGATTTAGCCGTACCTCGTATGCGGTGAACTCTGGCTCTGAATAATTCAGTGATTGGGACATACGGATGTACTCGCATTTGTAGTTCTACTCGAGCAACCACTTATCATTGATTCCCGTCGGACCCGAGTGTTCTGTTCCAGTCGGCAATACACGCTCGAACTTATCCCGACCGAGAGGACGTTCTACCCCGCGCTTGTTAGTCCCCAAGAAGTTTCGCAACGAATGTACGTGCCGAATTGATCAACTTACGTTGAACGCGAAGAAACACGGAGAGTTGACTGGAAGAGCCGAACTACATGTGGGGCCCGCCTGCGCTTGCCCGGGCTGGTGGCGGAAGAATGCGTGGGACTCTTGTTCTATCATCAGGGCCGACGATTTGGGAAGGGACTGGGACGACTAGTTTCATGAGTTGCCTCGAAACTCTAAATTTTCGCTACCTCCAATACCTATTAGTTGTGAGAGCGAGCTCGTTCTGAAGGTATTGGAATGCCTTCCCTTAAATGTTCTAAACGACGAGAGAGCGGATGCATTGACTCGACTTGACCTGTGCGGAAGCATTCTTGGATAGCATGCGACCCCTGAAGGGACCGAGTCGACCGCGTGACGCTCGACGTCTGTATAACTAAAATCTTCGACGAAACTTACCTGAGGGACTACATATGTATATCAATTGGAACGAACACATCCGGGAAACCATGAACATTCTCAGGGTTCACCTGGGGGCCGTGACGCGGAGCCCGGGCTCCGCGGGGTCGCACGTGCCGAATACTGACTCGTTTCCGCACACGAGATATTGCTTGTCACCGCGCACGATAATTCTTCATTTTTTGATGGATTATTCCGTCGACTTACCCCACGCTGAGGTAGAGCTCCCGATCACACAGATAGCGAACCGGTTCCCGTCATCTGCCATAAGGCAGTCGCGATTCAGTGATCGAAGTCACGAGGATTCACAGGAAATATGGAAATGTGCAGAGATTCGTATCTTGGCCTCGTTAGTATTTTATTAGATTACCGGCGACAGGCATGCATGAACAGCATTCGATCGGGAATGCTTCAGTCTCCGTTGGTGAGCGTGGAGAATTGGGATTCCGACAGAGCTGCTGCTTCTCCGAGAATTTCCTACGCTTGTCAATTGATCCCGGGTCGGGTGATGAAGATCGTCCATCTTTCGCCACGAGACGCAGGCGTTACGTTATCGATGAGAACCAAGAAAATTATTCCGGTGCATCTGCACGGGAGGAGCTTAAAAACAATTAATTCTCGGCTTGGACTTGCGGAGAGTTCGAATCACAGAATCATTGCTCTGACCTGGTTCATGAAGAGCAGAGGGCAAACTTCGTCTTGGACACTACTCGGAGCTTTCTCCAAAATGAAGCCCCCACAGAGGACGTAAGACATGAACAGATCTCCGACGGACCTAAATGTTCTGCCCGCTTCTCTTGAAGCGGGCTTCACCTGGTGGGATTTGAGAGATCTCTGCTGGATCCCGTGCCCCAAGGCTCAAGGCCAGGTCGCAAAGACACTATATGTGCTGTGCTCGAAGGACACATTAGGCGGAGGAAGTGCTTTCAAGTGGAAGCCGGATATACCCACCTTCCAAAAAAAGCGGGGATCAAAATCTCAGGCTTGCTAGCGGGAGATCCTGTTCTCAACTTCCCGTGTGTCCGATCGTCATATTAATGACCGGTGAGCTGATGGGATTTCGCACGGTTCATCTTCTCCATTCCTCCGAGTCCTCTCATTGTCGAGACACAGATGTTTTTTCGAAACAATGGGATCAGGGTGTCCCGGGTTGTGAGCTCGCGAAGAGACGCACGTTCCGTTTTTGCGCTCTGATTGCATCGGATGATATTCGACTATTCAATATGAGCCAGGGAAATTGCGTCGCAGCACTTGAAGTAGAAGTTCTATGGATTGCTCTATGGATTATCTTGAGGACTTTTGGTTCTCAAGCTCAAGTAGCCTCTTGCGAAAGCGTGTGCGCGGCCGTGTGTGTGTTCGTCCGGGGTCTAGAGGTTGCAGGAGAGCTCAGACAGAGACACGCAGAGAAGTTCCCGCCGGGAGGCACCTTCAAGCGCGTTTCCAAGCACTCCACGACCGCTTGGAGCACTTCTTATGAATATGATCGTAGCAGACTTAATCCATCGGAAGCGAAAACATGCGTGGCATGCTCTCTAAACGTTCGTGTTTGTCGTATGTATTTCTTGTGTTTCCGAGAACGATTAGATTCTCCCCTTCCCCCTCCGTTCAGGGGAAGATCTCGATTCGGGCGAGGGCGGGAAGGGGAAGATAGACGCGTGGAGAGCAAGATAGATTGCGAAAGGCGTGCCCCGTTTGACAAGAGCTGTTCGCGAAATTAGTCGAACGCTAGCGTTCCAGTTCCGGATTTTTGCACAAATCGTTGTCGATCGCACGAGCTATGAGACCTCCTTCGGTCCGTCTCCCGGCGAGGAGATACATTTTGGGCGTTTATCTCCCTCCAAGAACCCCCATGCATTCTCTGGCGATTCATCGGCGAAATCGGCGGCAAAAAATGCTCCTCAGAGCCTACCGAGGCTTGCGCACGATGAGACGGTATTCCTCCAAGATCACGCTCGTTTTCGACCTATCTCGACGTGCTCAACTCCCCATTATTTCGATCGACTTGAAGACCGACGGAAGCCATAGATCTTGGTCGGCTTCGAAAGTCGATTCCACGTCCTCTTCGCTGCGGAATCCCGTCTGCTTCCGATGGTGATGGGGAAGTGCTGAGCAGATGATCGTCTTCGACGGATAGCGGGAAAGCAGAACAGCCGTTCCAGTCTGATGGTTATCTTTCTCGGAACCCGACTCCATTCTAACCAAGGACACGCGTGAACGATAGAGCATCCGGGACGCGAGGGAAACAGGAGGACTGCGAGTCAGGCATCTGTATTTTCCCCGGGAGAGGATAATCTCGGGAAACGAGACCCTGCCCATTGTCCTCTCCGAGCTCTTGATGATCGCCGCGTTGGTCAAGACCGAAATCTAAAAGCCGATTTCTGATCATCGGCCCATCAGGCGTAGCTCCGGAGAATCGCCGGTTACGGCGAATGCTCTCCGTTTTCTGTCAGCTTGAAATCTCCCTTGACTCGTCCTTTTTTCGATCTCAATCCCACTTGTCCCAATCGAATCCTCGTACTCTTCTCCGAGTCCGAGAAAATCGTTTTCGACGTTCACGTCTAGCCCGACGCTATCGCATCTCGCTTCAAAGCATCGTCTACAAAGCCATCGGCCAACAGTTTCGCCATATTTGAAATCCAGGTAGACGGGCGAGCTCGAGAGAATCATCGTTTCGGTTTACGCCGCGTCGTCGCAATCCGAAGGTGGATGTCTCGGATACGGAAGAAGGAGCACAACGGGACGTTTATGAGAAAATCGTCGGAATCGCTCGATGTACAAACAGTACGTATTGAGTGGGGGGAACCCGGCGGATGAGATCTGTCATCGAGAGAATGCTGCCGTGTTGGCCTGCGAGACGTCCTCGAGGCAACGCGCATCACTTGTCAATGCTACCAAGACAGATGTATCGCTGTTCAAACACCGAGCACTTGGGGAAGAAAGGAGAACGGTTGCGTCCATAGCGATGATATCATTCGAATCAGATGTCGTCAACCTCTCGCTCCATCCCGAGGAAGGGCTCCGCTTCTATTTAAGAACTCAAGTCCGGAATCCCGTGTTTTGAGGACTGTGCGACCGAGCCAGACTCGCACAACTGGGTGTAGTCTCCTTCCCGAAATTGCCTGTCCGTCTTCCGGGGCTCCATTGAGCCCGTTCTCGCTCCTATTGGAAATATCGAGACCTGAGAGAGGAATCGATCCCGTCATATTCCCAATCGATTCCATCAGCTGCGGCTCTTTTTCGCGCCTGAGGAATGCGGAAACTCAGCGGACTCCCAGGAGATCCATGTGCATGGCCATCCAATCCAATTATTTATAAGTGTGCTTTTCAGCGCGGGAAGCTCGGCTATCGAGAGACAAATTGTGGAGAGCCCCTGCGCGCAAGCCCGCTGGCTCTCCTCGGCGATCGGATAAACCGGTGGACCGTTGCTGGTTTTCACGCGCCAAAGCGCTGAAAAGCTGCGAGTCACAACAAATCTGATCCACTTATAGGTTCGACGAGCTGTCTTTTACTTGGATGCATCTCCAAGCAACAGCCTAATCCGAACGAGTCTCCGAAGAGCCTACGACAGGTTGTTCCGAATCGCTCATGTCGGTTATCAATATTTTAGCAGCGGTCGGTCTGCGGTTGCGGATTGAAACCCGGCACGCTCCGAGCTCTTTGAGCTCGTATGCTATTCAGATTCGGCACAGGTGAGCAGCCAAGCCGCCGGCCACTCGCTCACGGCTGTCAAACCAGCTCGTAGTGTGCGATCCCGGATGCCGCTGCGGGGAAAATGCGACAGCTCTGATCAAACGTGCTTTTGATATTCGGAGTCGAACGAACACGTTCCCGGAGGTCGGAGATGAAAAACGACGCTCTGAGAGAGACTTCTACGCAAGAGGCTTCACTCAATTTTCGAAACCTGTAAGTTCAGAATCCTATTGGGAACAATGATTGCGGTAGGGGGAGTTCAGATCCTCGGGCGGAGCTTCCACACCTTGGAGGGAATCGGGCTTCGTCGGACGAATATTCGATCCTCCGATATACGATGCTCGAATCGCTGGATCGAGGGCGCTACTAGATATGTCCGGCCGTCAGCATCGTCGCAGGAATAACTAACGGTGACCAAAACGATTAGGGGTCGACCGAAGGTGGGAGTCGCAAGATTGACATTACATCAACGATGATCCTGCTTCGGCCGGAGGGATCTTCTCTCCAAATGTTTCCAGTCGAAGGATTTCCACTTTGAATATTTCGAAAGATTCCCGTCGCCAGCTCCTACGGAGCCCGCATATTCGTTTCATGCTCTGTCTAGTCTCCGACACGAGCCTAATCTGAGGATTCCCGCAGCGATTTTCCAATCCGTGAAACTTTACGGCACGAGCAAAGCCGCATCAAGAACAGACACGATACAGCCTACGCGAAGTACTCGTGAAAAAAAAACGCATCGGTCGCCGAGCTCCACTGAATACTTTGAGCTTGGAGATTTCAGCGTTAAAGTACGGGCAAAATTCCCAAAGCTGAACGTTTTGGATTTTTTTCCAGCCCCTCACTCCGGAGTTCTTTTCGAAGCAGGCTCGGAGCCTCTTTCAAACGGCGCAACGACCAGCATCACAGCCGGAGCAGAAGTAACAGGTGGTTATTAGAACGCGCTTCGGAAAGATTTAGATTCCTTCGTCAAACATTCCGCGATCTTTCGGAGCTTTCCCACTGATATTCGCCCTTTGGAGCCGATCGCGAGCGTTTATCCTAAATGCGGAGATAACCGTTTTCGCCCTTCTCTCTCCCACTGGCATCTCCGACGTGAAGTCTACAAGATACTCTACCAGCCAAGTTCATTCGCACCACGACCGTGAAGCCTGCGACCTTGAATCCAATCTGGAATGAACGCTTCCGACTGTGAGTTCGGCAAACAATGATTCGGTCATTCGATTTCGGGCGAGCCATCGATTACGATTTGAAAATTTCTCCTTGTAGCGACATCGACGATATCAAAAATGATCGCCTGCACCTCGACGTCTGGTGAGTACTCGGGGTACGATTTCATTCTTCTGTTGACGCAATTAAATCCGGATATATCCGAGACTGAATCCGATCCTCTTCCCGCAGGGATCACGACGATGAATCTAGCGTATTCGATGCCGCACGAAAATTGAACGAAGTCTCTGGTCTCAAAGGCCTTGGAAGGTAGGTTGACGGCAGGATTAGATATTCCGCAAGTCGCAACCCTTCCCGCGGAAGCCCAGATTCGAAGTTCGATCCGACAAATGTCGAATGATCTCCGGGGATTCTTTCACACGGTCGAGTTTTAGAAGAACCCTGCTCTGAGTGCACACCACGCAGGAATGTCACGCTTTCCAGCGAAATTCACACGAGTGTGCCAGCTGGTCGAGATGACTATCTTGAAGTGAGGCAGTAGAGTTGCGGGCCATCCCCAATTTCGCGAGACTAGTCGCAAGCCTCCCCGACCTAAGATGCGCTTGGAGAGTCGCAATATAATCTCGGAGAAGTTCGGAAGAAGCTTGATCGACGTGAAATTGTAGCATAAGCGTTGGCGTCGTCAACTCACGTATGGTATTGGCCGCGGTCGGATCAAAGTCGACTGTCGGAAGCGATGCAGACTTATATTTACAGGCCTGTACGGGACCCGGAGGCAGCATATTGGCCGAGTATGTTATCCGTATAAAACGCGATCGATGGAAGCGATCGGCAAGGATCTGTCATATGACTCGTAGGATTAGATCCGGACCGGTAAACACTCCGGGTATGCGTCATATGAGAGAAATGAGTTCCGTCGGAAGATCCGCAGTACCGGCGACAGTAGAAAATAGGACTCGTCCTCCACCTCGGATGTGTCCCCTATCAGATTTCAGAATGGCGCTTCGTTCGGCTTGGACAGGATCAGTTTTCGCGATTCTCGGAAGACTCCATTCAAATTCTGAAGCTTTTTACGCAAATGGAAAAAAGGAGAGTTCGGCTCCTTCCCGGCGTGTCGGGACGGATGGCGGGAGCTCCGACCGGACACTTTCCATCTGGCGGAGACAATCCATTCCTCCTTACTCGCTGGCTTCTCCGAGAGTGCTTTCCTATCGGCTCGGTCCACGCTATCACTCCGCGCACTTTCACCGCAAGAACTCACGGAGTGACATTCCTTCGGTAGCCGTCAAAGGAGAGGAAATTGATTTAGACGTGAACTTTCTGCTTCCGCTCTTGCGACTGAGGAACGGATCGATTGATTCCTCCTGAATGCCGCAGCTCCGCGGCGGCTCGCCCACTAATACAAAGAGCTCTGCCGACGGAACGTCGGACGATATTTCCTCGACGACATTTTAGCCTTCGTCGCGAAATCCCAGCAACCTCCGATCCTCGATCGCGTGGGCTCCTCCTTCTTGTTAAGGCAGTTTCCTGTAAGCTCTTTGAGCCCGGCTCATTTCGGAAAAAACGAAAAAAAGTTTCGTCTCCTCGCGCGGCAACGCTCAATCCTCCCGGTGTCCCCTAAACCGTACTTATCCCTGGTCTTTTGAGAACGAGTATACGTACATACACATATTAGGTAGAAGCAACAACCGAACGATTCCTTCCGCGGACGGGACCGACCTGCTGCAAAAACAGCGAGGGCGAATCCGCCGACGAAAGCTGCAGCAACGACAATAACAACAACAAAAAGTCAATAGAGTCTGAGCGATATACGCGAATGCGACACGGATCCCACCAGGAGGCTTGAACAACAGACAACTCGCTCGTATTCAGGCTTGTTGCCGGATCCGGAGTGGAAGTATCGGATCCCGAGCTCGGAAAATTGGATTCCGGCGGATGTTTTTCCCAAAGCGGGACTCCGGTGCACGTCGGAAAAAGGATTTTTCTCTCGCCCGCTCCCGCCATGTGACGAAAGTCTGCTCGCATCTCACCGCCGCTTTCAATGAGGTGTCGACGAAGCCGGTGTCCGGTCCATAGATGGCTCCTGACACCGGGAAACTAACATAAAAGATAGCCGGTGCCCGCAAGGCTGAAGCTGGAAGGCGGAGGGCATCATTCATTCATTCGTTCGTTGGTTCGTTCGCCCGTCCCTTGGCTCAATTTCGCTCCGTTGCTCCTTCGTTCTTCTATGTCGACGAGTGCGAACATGTAATAATTATCTTCAGCAAACTCTTGGCTCACAATCAGTCAGACGGAAGCAGTGCACTGGGAGCGAGGCTCGTTAATTATTAAAAGAAAAATCCTGCGGTTGTGAGAGAGCGCACACGCCTGAACGGATCCGGTATCTTACGAAACGCTCGATGTGCGTGAATCAAGGAAAGAACAACTGCTGCCGGAATTGAGCGAATCTCATCCGGGGAACTTTGGGAATGATTTTCCTCTGGGAGTCTGTTCGTCGGATAAGTTGAGATTCGACGAACTCGGCGGTGGGCTTTCGGCGATCTTCATTGAAAGCTCAGTCCATTCCGCAGTCGTATACGGAGTTTCTAGTATTTCGAGGAATAAAAAAAGCTCTTTCTTGGCTGATATCTAAAATGCTATTTTTTGCAGATACTTCAAACAAATCGCCCAATCTGCACGCTCGGGATCGAGCACCGATGATTTTATGGGATGCGTTAACGTGCCTCTCGAGGTACTCGAGGTAGAAACAAATTCTGTAGATTCCAAGCTTAATTCCGGGAACGAGCTCAGAGTCCGGAGTATCGCGAATGTTCCAGAAGGATTCGAAGGAGCCTTCCAGAAACAAGCACGGTTTCCGTGAATCATTCCCTTGCAGGATATACCCACGTCCGGAATCGACAGATGGATTCCCCTGGAGGGCCGCACTGCCCGATCCAACGTACAAGGGCAGATCCGACTCCGTCTCAGTTTGGGTACTCGCGAAGAACGCGGTACAGTACAGGGCGAAGATAATTGGAAAGAGGTCGTCGAACATCAGCAGCTGCTGTGGATCTTTGTGCAGCACACGCTCGAGGACTTCAAGATGCGTGCCCGTCCTCGCTGCTCGAAAGTACGTCGTACGCTCCCGGACGTAATTCCCTCCGATTCTCGGTGACTCTATTGGCGATCTTCATGAGATTCCCTCTCCGTACCCTCGATGCGGCTTCTTGCTTTGCGATTCCTTTCACAGAAGAGTTCCACATTTCAAAGAGTTCCCCTGTAAGCCGTAATTGCGATCCGGTGTACGGGAGGTTGCTCTCTCGTACGATGCTTCTTCAGCGCCTAGTTTCCCCTTCGCTTGCTGACACCGTGTAGACCTCTGTATTTGTTCGCGAGAGAAGATGTTGAGCACTCGGAACTCCCTGGTGGGATTCGTTGATAGGATGGTCGATGACGACCAGTTGTCTCCGTCGGCGAGGCTCAAACCCCCGGGTCGAATTTTCCCCCGAGATCTGACATCCTGCGCGAGGGCTTTCAAAGAAACCTCAGGCGTCAATATTCAAGAAGCGCTATAACGAAGTCCGGGGCCGCTCCCGTCTCGGAGCTTGCGGCTTCTGATTTGGTCACGTTTCGGTTTTTATTAGGGCGGAGGCCCTCTTCTTGGTCGCTCGTGTTCCTTCAGATATCGTAACGACACCAACCGACCTGCCCACATAGTGGATGCTCAGACGAGAACAATGATTCCGCAAGGCGGATCCTTGGCTACCGGATATTCCGCAATATGGTTTCTTGAGACGTATCTACCCGAATCTTTGATGAGGAGAATTCGTCTCGATCCTCAGGGAGTCATCCTTGACGGTGCAACGGGGATGATACCGATCCCTCCACCCACCCAGGAGTCTTCCCGTGCTTTCGACGGATTCGATAGGCGATTTCGGGGTTAGAGCCGCCCGCCTTGGAGTCTCAAGAGTTTTGCTGAGACAAAGGATGAACCCAGGGCTCGAGACTGTGGCGGGCATTTTGACTCGGTCAGAGAACGAGAGCCATAGAATGCTTAGATTTATTGCGCATTCAGATGCGGAAATTATACCTCACGCCCTCGACCGCCTCGTTTTATCGAGGCTAGGCTCCGTCATCTGTGCTGAATTTTTCCGTACCTTCGGGAAGAATACCTCATCGGAAACTGCCGGGATCTTGGCCTGTTAATCCGGGCAGAATCATTTATTGAAATTTATTACACCTGAGAGAACCGAATACCTATGTGCGACGAGGAGAGTCCTAAGCCTTCGCTCTTCGACTAATCTTATATTCTTTGTTCGAAGAAACCGGCCGAATGGACCGGGGAACTTCCACGAGCGGCTCAGACGATTCTGCACCAACACGCCATCCAGGGGGATATTACCGCCCTCCAGCAAGCTATCACCCGCTGGATAATTTATTCGAAGAAACATCAAACTGGCACCACTCTCGACTACGCTCTCTTGTACCAACTTCTCGAAGACCTCGATGCTAAATGGCAGGACTCCGACAAGTCTCTTTCGAGGGACGAGGTATGGTGGCGTTAGTTAGAGTTCATATCCGAACAAAATTCGAGTGGATGTTGGAGGCATAATATTGCTCCGGCGCGGGCGGCAGGAATGGGTGCTCGTTAATAATTATCGAAGCGGTCCGCTTTCATAACTCATGGCGATGTTTCAGGAAGCCTCTCTGGCAGACTCATTCAATAATATGATCGACTATTCGCTACAAGCCATCTCGAAACATCGAACGCTTTTTCCGGCAGGCAATCTCGAAGCCGAACACCGGCTCATCCACCTGCTCAAGTGAGTCACATCCCCTAACCGAATTTCCCCCTCTTTCGATTAAACTCTTGAATGTGGAAAAACTTCGAATGACTGTCGCAGAATGATAGTATTCGGAGTGATTAGGGACGCGCTCTTTCCCTTTCTGTCCTGGAGCATCAGATCGAGGGCAGGAAGAGCGAGCGAGGCACCTCTGGGTCGGATGATATTCAGATTTGCGGGCGGCTCGGGATGATTATATTCATTGAAATACAGCGGATCTCGGAAATGCCCATGAATCTCGCGGGAATCGTCGTGAGAGCCAAAAAATACAACTCGTTTTTTCTCGTACCCAAAAAGCTCCATGAGACCGAGCATCTGGTTCTCTGAGTGCGCTTTTTCCCGATTCTCTCATAATCGGCTTCTGCTGCTTCCCTCAGCATCGGATATCAATCGTATCGAGACTCGGAAGTTTCGCCGCTGTCGAGAAGCTATCTGTCTTCAGTTCGCACTCCCCGAGAAGCTGATGGAAGAATTGGACGAGCGCATCCGGGCCGGAAGTATTTATTCGAGTTATGACGGGACTGAGATGCTCGAAATTAGACTTCCGTAGCAGCGTCTGGCTGCTTTGTCATCATCAACGAGACGTCAATCCTTCACACTGCGTGACCTTGTCAAGTTCCCTTATAGATAGTCTTGTGAACAGACGGGAAGTCACCGAGGACGTTTCCTTCAGCGACTAACGGTTTTTTAGAGCTTGATGCATTGTTCCCCAGATAGCTCCGTACCGGACGAATCCCACTGAGCCAGCTCTGTCGGGAGCACACTACAGGAAGGATTCGATACGAACCGGGAGAAGTCCCCTTCTCTGAGAATCAATGCTGAAACGCTCCACTCCTTTCCAGATGTCTCTCGCTCATCTATAGAATGAAGGCGTTCAAATGGTGCTGTCCATTCCGCAACCAGTTGACGGTCGAAGTCATAAACGCGTTAAGGGTGAGCTCAATCGACAGTCAATTACACTGAGCGAGGTTGTCGCCTAGCGCTGAGACTTTATCTCTGGAGCGCGAGTGTTCCGCTTTTCAATTTCTCGTGGCTTTCAGAGAGGAACGATCGAATGGTTTGCAGTATCTCTCCTCCAATTCCAAAATGGAGCTCAATCGGGAATTTGTCCCGAGCACGCTCTACTCGACGCGTTCGCTCAGCTAGCGAACGCCATCAATACCGATCTCCAGAGGAATGATAAATACTGCAATCACCTTTTCGAAACGTGAGCATCCACCAGCGAAGAGTGCGGCGACGCCGGCGGCGGCTATGATTCCGGGCGGTCTTTGTCTGCGACTGGTTCTCTTCTCGTTCGCTTCCTCGTCTGCTCTTCTTCTGTCGATGCGATCATAGCTAGAAATTCTTCTCCGACGAGAGGAGCTGGAGCGAATCACAAACAGCTACAAACGTCACTCGACTCGCGCATGCTCGTGGTAGCAAACAGCTGCGAACACCTGTGAACAGCTGTGGCGAATTCGACGGGTCTGGTACGCTCGGGGCTATACGAGCCCATATTTCCTCGGAAGCCGCCGGAAGGACGATCGCCTTGTGCTAAGCCTGGCTCGAGTTCAGGTATTACGAGGGATGAGACGATGCTGTTGCGATTAGCTCTAACGAGCTCTTTTTCTGCTACGTTTCAGATATATAGCCATGAGTTATACAGCTACCAATTTCAAGCAGTTCGAGAAGCTGGTAATTCACCCTGTCTCTTGGGAAGTCATCTTATCCGAGCATAGCGATGACCCGCCCTTGATTTGACTCCCACCCCTCAATTTACAGATCTCGGACGAAATCGGTACCCGTCTTCAAACACAGGTATGCTTGACGGCTCGGGATTTTTTCATGCATTAAGGATGCGCTCGCTGAATCCGAATTTATTGTTCTGAGTGAGTTATGCAGCGGAAGACAGTGGTGCGC